TTATTATTATTATTAGTATTATTGTTATTATTATTATTATTACTACTACTATTACTATTATTATTATTATTGTTATTGTTATTGTTATTGTTATTATGCGCAAAGATGACACGCAAACTCATGAAGCGTTCCAAAACTTTTCCATTCGCGCACTTGTGTCATTGGCGCGCGGTCGGTCCTNATTATTTATGCTCAAACAGCACTGAAGAAGAGAAAACAGTGGCAGAACGGAAGGGAAAGCGATAGCTTATCTGGCTAAATCCAATTACTTCAATAAAAGAAGAATAAAAAAGGAATAAAAAAACTCCAAACAGCAAGTAAAGCGTGAATTCACAACAAATTCAGTTGGCCACCAGATCGGATAAACAAAGTATTGAAAATTTCATTTTCGCCTTCAAATCAAGCATTTCCCATAAACAAATCGAGATCGGCATCGAGTATTGAGCAATATCATCTTTTACTTTCAGTTATTATCAACTAGCCAAAATTCTTCTTCTTTCCTTCATTCGGGCGCGATATCAAATAGAATTGCTCTTCTGCTCTGAATCTGCTCTGAACTTCTCCCTGGATGATTTTCTGGTTTCAACTGAAATTATTACTGTCATGAATCAGAGATAATGACTGACTCACGCTCCTAGCAATTTTCCTCGAAAACTCTGACCAGTAGGTTTTTTCAGCGCTAAGCGATTACAGTGCACGACCACAGCAGCAAAGAACGGCCAAGTCGCCCATGTCTATCTTTGAAGAAGTAAATTTAGCTCTAAAATTATTATCATTAAGAATCTCACATGCTCCCATGCATACAATTTCCTACGCTCCCTTCAAGGAAGTCACAACTTCACACGTACTCAGTATCAATTCAGTTCTCGTAGAACAGGCTTGACTGACTGGCTGACATGCTCATCGCTCCAGCTAACATATTAGGTTACAAGCCTTCAGCTCGAACGAGTCAATGGTCTTTGAACTCTGTGCTCTTAGCTGCCTCCTCATCCTCGTTCCTCGACTAGAGGTTCACACCAAGCCCGAAAAATCCCCAAAAAATCTCCAAGTTGCTCTCTGGCCAGAATTCCGAAAGACCAGTTTTTCTCAATTGTTTCAGCCCGCTTTAATGCTAAAAATAGTGTCATCAACCGAAAAAATCGATATGAAAATATATTAGAATTGATTTTTGTCTCCCATAAATAGATCTTTTGTGTTACACTCCCTAATCCCTTTCCCCGGCCCGTTTACCAACACCCCGTCGGAAAAGGGTAAGAATAATCCAAGGTGGAACTAGAGGATTTCAGATCACCATCACACCAAAGGAATATACCCTTTATGATCGTGCACGTTGCATCCAGGACGTTCTTTGAGTTCTCGTTTCGTTACAATCCCAAGTGCATCAACAAAGTGTCTCCCTGGAGGGGTAATATTCATAATTATTTGATTCATAATTATTTGTAGATGAAATTTAAAACTTATATCTTATATGTTAGTAGAGTACACAACCCCATTTGGCACGTTCTAAGGAATCCTGGGCTTGAAATGAGTATTTTCGGGAACCTACTATATGATCATACTCTGCACAGAAACTTTTTCATGATATTGCCTTGACTTCGCTTTCTCGGTTGTCTTCAATGGAAACCTTCCCGAATCGACATTCAGTCGACTCAATTGATTTCTTTTCAGTTATGGGTGATCCAGACTGGTATAATCGACCTTTAACATTCGAAGATTTGATAGCTGGTGGATCTTTGATCTGTGTCTCGACGATCTCCATTATTCTCTATGCTGTTGTAATGAAAGTTATGAGGAAATCGGATAAGGTGAATTACTTTTGCACTTTTCTTTTCTCAGTTCAACTCGACCCACTTGGGCCTGCTACTATGCCTTATAATCACAATTGTAAGGTCATTATGTTAAGATTTTAATTTTTCTCGTCCACCTCAACGTAAATCTCATGCACATGCCATCTACGCTTTCAAATATTAACACGATCCCAGACAGAAGTCGAATGCATGGCGCACCCCAAAAGGCTGTCTAACAGCGATTTCGTGACTTTTTTCGGAATTATCGTTCAACTTTTTTCCAAAAAATGATCTGGCTAATCTACACCTTAAATGTATTATATTCTCACTAGGAATTTAATCCATGATCTCGTGTGATACTTATCCATCCTTCACGATACCACGTGATAGTGGCACTTCGTGTTTTCCTCTCAATTGCTTGATTTATTTAGCTGAAAAATAATGACAACGAGAAAAAAACATTAGTGCTACTCCGAAGTATCACCAAATATTTTAGTTCATCACATTCTTTATTCATTTACACTCATTCATTGAGAAGAAGATGTCTCCAAGTGATGGAAGGTTCGAACGACTTCCTTTGAAGAGTACTTGTTACTATGTAAGGGACACAGAGGCAGAAGCCCTTCATCAAAAGCTGCATCGAATACTTACCTGCGTTACATTTTTCTCGGGTAAAGGTTACGATACTGGTTACTTGGATGGGCTCATCAAGCGATATCTACCGTTCCATAGCCATTGTGTCATGAGAGCTATTCAAGTTAGGTAGTCGCAGTTGGTTAGGGAGATCCAGCGGAAGTCTCTAAGCCCTACCTCTTGGCTGTGAGGTCCTGGAAAGCAGTACCGCTATCATACGCATGGTCTAACTTCATCTGAACTTCGTTACAGTACATCAAACCCACTTCTTCGCTCAGTTCATCGTCGAATCTCTGTGTTATCTGCCTAGACTGACCAAACCTTTTATCCCTACCGGATCGGTCACTTGATACTAGACTCGTCTGAGTGGAGAAATGCACTAATTTGAACATCGGCTGGCGAGCGCAAGTCATTGTGTAGGCCACATACGCATTCGATATGCACTACGATCTGAATGGAATTCGAGAGCGGGGGCGTATTCCTTAGACGAAATTGATGCCCAAAAACTTTATCTTTCAGGCTTTTACCTATGTTTCCTTATCCTTTTCTTAATCTCAGGTCCTATTGTATTTTTTGCCCCTAACCCTGCCTATTCTTTTTATTACTTCCGCCAGGATTCATGTGAGACAACGTCCGAGTTCTGGCTTAATCCTTCGAAGAACAAGTTTTGTTTTGACCCCTTTTGCCACTCAGCGTTTTCTTTCACCTTTAGAGTGTTTCACAGAAATCGTGGACTATGTAGACTTCATGGCCCTTTCTTTTNCTACATGAAGCCGCTTTTTCAAAAATTTGAATGACAATCGCGTCCATTAGGGATTTAGCACAGGATTCCACCTAGGGATTTTCTGACGCCAGTGCTTTTCAGCACTGCCATTTCACATCTACGCTTGAAACCCATTATATTAGATTTATTGAGGGAAATGGAGAAGGCGGACCATAACAGCGGACCCTGCGACCGTGGAGAACTAATACTAGGGAGAAGAAGAGGAAGGAGAAAAAGGATAACTTTGATCAGACGAGGCACTTTGGGCCGACACTGGACTCGCTCCATCCACAATGTGGGATGACCCTTAGCTAGTTGTCTTACCACGCCGACCTGCGAGCCAGTTACTGAATCAGGGCAAGTTCTGCGCCGGTAGGCTAACTGGTCTACAAAAGTGGCACTTCAAGATTTTGAATTGCTACAAACCTTCACCCCTCCTGAATCCATCGCTTGAAGGAGCAGCGTTCTTCTAAGCTCCTGCGCTGCTCAAGTAGCACAGGAGAACTTTATACAAGCCTAGCAGCCAGCGATCCGTTGCTTCGCTAGGGTACATGGAACACACTAGCCATCAGAATACTTGATGTTCAACTAGACCTATTGCGCCGCCATTCGCAGCAGACTAACCTGAATCCTTATGATCAAGAATCCCTTCAGCAAGTCGTTCTTCCTAAGCCTCGATTAGAAACCAAACAAACCTCGTGATTTCGACTTTCATGAAGAAACAAGTAGTGAGAAGCATTTGATGGACAAAGGTCTTCATCCCATCGTAAGAAGAGCTGTTGAGGCGAAAAATAAGCGGAAGTGACATTGAGGGATCTTTGTGATTATTGTTCCCCGTAAGAGAGCAAATGGAATTGTATTTTCATCGGTTTGGGAACTTCCCTGTTAGCGTTCCCATGCTTTCTACGTAGAATGCTATCTAGGTTGTAGGCTATGGCAGAAATCTCTTCGGTGAGGCGTTAGAAGGCGGGGTTTTGGTGGTGCAGTGGGTGAAGAGCAACGGTCTTGAAATCATAGGTAGGGGCACGGTTGCGGTCCGAGACCGAGCGTTATGCCCGGAAATCGCCATCAGTGAAAGATTCCTCATGAATAAAGCTTAATTTCAGAGTTTCTATGAGCTAAGAGGCTCTGCATATAGAAGGCTCAGGGCCAATTTTCGACAAGGGATTCGTTCAACTACTGGGATACTGTACGAATTCGAAGAACAGCGGGTGGTTCTGACATAGTGGCGTCATGTTGAACATTCCTTAATTCACCTTCATTTTTCAGTTTCTTTTCACTTTTCTTAATTTAGGCACCAACAAAGACTTGTCCTGTTTCTCTTCTAGTCAATTTGGTTTCGGCTTTTTTCTCAGCCTCGGTTGACTCAGATGGTCTTGCCCTAATGCAATGCAGAATTGGAAATACAGAAAAGGACGAAACATAGTTTAAGGGCACGCTGGCTTTTGTGGGTCTATGAGTGTGCGGAGAGGGGGGGGGGGACCGCCAGGTTTTTCATTCCACGGGATGGCTGGCCTCCGTTGTAGTGAAGAAAGTTATCCCTGGTCCTGAAAAAGAATGGGGAGGAGATATATGGCGAAAAAAAGACGATTCGAAAACCTTGGGCACCGGGGGGGGGGTCATATTTTGACAATGAGAGACCATGGTGTAATGGCAAGTGGCGCACTGTCACACACTCGTGGCCTTGAGATCGAATCCCGGATCAGCAGTCGATATTGATCAACGCTGAAGTATTTCACTTTTCTATCTTGCCAGGGATGCTTGAGTGGCCAAAAAAAAGAGCGCACTCTGAAGAAGAGCTGGTCGATTCGTCGACAAATTCAATCTCCATAAACCAATTTGTCTACTCGACTATGAAATGCGTACGTTGAATGGGAGACGTGAAGACCAGATGAATTTCCAGGCCCTATTCAAAAACTTTTCTTCTCATGGGGGACTTCTTTTGAGCCCCAGGCGTCTGTTCATGTCACAAAAGGGGAACGATATCACGTTTTATGACGTGGTCAGCCACTTCCACGTGAGCCATTCGGAAGTAGCTTCCTTGATTTTTAATATCCGCCCGACGTAATCACGACTGTCTCCTACGAGACCATTCACTTCGATCGAATCTTTTTATCCCTGAGGATGCCTTTTCTACCCAACTGTGTTTACTTGAAAAGGCTAAAAATCAAGCCACTTTGAAGGCCAAATGTAGAGCCTAAAGGGTTCAACTTCTCTGGTATCAGAGAGGAACCAGGTCGTGAACTTTTTCCCATTCTGTCAGTTTTACTCTAGAGAAAACTAGTAAAGAGTCGAAAGAATGTAAAGGTGATTGTAAAAATAATGGCCAAACATAAAATTCATTGACTGGATGTAGTACTAAAACTTCAAGGACATTGTTCGGGTAAATGCTTGGGTAACCAAGTGGATAAGAACGATAAGTAGAAGTGGAGGGGAGGGGAAGGTTCGAAGTCTACCCGGAGATGAATTCCTTTCTAGGAACTCGCCATATTTTGCAAAAAATTGAAAGCGATAGAGCTTCCAGCGTTATTCGACCTTTTCCCTGTTTATAAGCCATTCATTCGTCTTCCGCCTAGAATTATAAAGCTATTTTTGTTCCTATTCGGCTAATAGAAGAGAGGGATGACAATCGAGCTACAGGCCACAAATTTGTCCAGCCACAGAATTAATGGTGCAGAATTCTGATGAATTTCACAAAATTGATCTTTTTATATCCATTTTGCTATTTTATCGCTATCAAAATTGATTTAACAAATTAATCCCATTACTAAAGAAAAGGCTGTAGCCATCAATGACAGATGATCCGACTTTTCTCGCATATTTGGCTTGCATAAAGAAAGGGACCCAGAAGGAGTGGTACTGGAGCAACACAGTAACGGATTGACACTTACTTACTACTGCTTAATCACTCCATACGGACTGCATTAGTAATTCATGATACAAGCGTCATCAACAAATAGGCCCTTTATTGCTTTTAGAAATTCTCGGAATTCCCCTCGTTCGCTCGAGTAATCTTCGATGAATAAATAATCCTATACGTAGTAGGCCGATAAATATTGTTTTTGTTTACCCGTTTGAATTCCGCTGTGCTGGCAATCATACTCGCCTCTACAGATGGGGTTCTGCATCAGTAGATAACTATGAGGCGAGCGTCTTACAAGGATAACGAGTTATGGCAAAAGGACGGGTCTGAACGGAAACCGAACCCTTCACTACACTTTGCCAGCATCGTTCGCTTACTTCTCTACACTAACGAAACTTCTTTCGCCCTTGCTTTCTTGATGGCTTTTCTGCTGTGGTCACCACAACTTCACGAAAAAGAAAATAATGAAAATTAAGTCAAAAATAAGAGGGTGAATTTTGAATCTATTCGTTGCTTGTTAATTTACTTAATCACTGAATAAGCCATGCACTCGACTTCTGCTTGCAAACTTGACTGAGGCGCTTGGATGTCCACTTTGTACACGCTATCAAACACCCCAAATAAGTCCGGGAGTTAGGCTCCTCAGCTAAATCACACACGTCTCATGGTATCCACATTTTTTATCGTCCATGCAAAATTCCACAGACGAAGACACTTCTCCCCTTTTGAGTCGGAGTTGAGGCATTTTCGAAATTTGTTGATATAGATGTTTTTTTATGAAAAATATTGCTTTCAGGAAATTGTCGGGTATCGATTTTTGATATCGGCAGGATTCGCCGATATCCTACTGCTCATTAACTACGGTATTTGGCCTGGACTTACGATTTTGCTGAAATCGGAGATCATCTCAAAAACATCGCGACATTGGCTTCAGGTGGGGAATACTTAGAATGATCTCTGAGCCCCAATCCGTGAAAGTAATATCGTATAAAAACTGGTACAGATCGGAAAATGTTCAATACTTTCAGCTGTATCTGGATTGGGCTTGGTTTTCGATGGTTTGGCATTATGCAGTCGTTGGATGGTCGCGATGGTTAGCGATTCGATCTCCGCATTCGTTTCGATGTCAAAGTCGACGATACTCCTACGCAATATGCGCGTGTTGTTACATCATCTCCTTAATGGAGGTAAGTTTATGTATAAGTAAACATTCCACAATTAGAATATGGAAGATCAGAAGATAAAAGCATTCGTCTCCGAGCTGCGAAATTCAAAAGAAATAGGAATGTCGAAGCTTGGGGCCTCCTAAGCTGGTTCTGCGGCTTGCTGTTTAACCTAAAAGTGAAAGAAATTTTTCAATAACATCAGAAAACAGTCACGGCCGGGATTCATTTCCTTCTTCGACGCAGTTGGTATTCACTAATCAGTACCAAAGCACTCTGCTCTGCTCCCCAAACTATCCGCTCTCAGTTACCTTCGCCTGCTCTCTCTGAATCAGTGAAATTTACAAGTTCAACTAGGATGATATACGCTACTGAAGGTCCGATGGGCCGGTGGGCAGTTTGACTTAGCAGGGTCGAGCCCACACTCCCTCCATTGGAGGGGTGTGGGGCTCGGTCCTGCTGAGCAAAACTGCCCGCCGGCCCATCGGACAGCTCGGGTAAGCCGGTGTGGGCCTCAGCCGGCATCAAACTGATTAGCGGGTTGATATTGTTGAGGGCCACTCAGAAGGTATGTGGTCATACGGAGTAGCGGATAATGGTCCGGACTCACTCCTGTGAAGTGGCGGGCTCGATTCGCGGCGGTGCACCACAAATTTTTGCTCGAGTCTACGCATGAGAGTACATTCAAGTTGGGACATACCTGCAAAGTAGCATAACAAACTTTGTATAAAGTGTAGGTTCCGGAACAAAGGGAATTCCCTGCATCAGCCATTTAACTTGATCTTTCCAGGGCTTCCCACTTACAATATCCTTAGCAAATCATAACGCTTCAGCCTTGAAACGTCATAATGCATGTACAGTGTTTGAACCAAAGGATACCCTGAGGCCTCGGAAAGTTGAAGATCAGCGGCTTGCAGCTTCCACCTAGTCTAATAATAAATTGGTCATTTTTCTCTTACAGTACAGTATGATGGCAAAGGGAGTGCGTTTCTGGATGACAGTATGAACCAAGGAACCAGACACGACACAGAACTAAGTGCACGCCTTGAAACTACTCGAGAAATGAATCATACCATAACTGCCAAACCTGGGAAATCAACCTTCTCCGAGGACTTGAAGCTCCCAGGTGAATGACACACCTGGTTTCATTTGGCACGAAGCTCGTCAGAGATGTATCTACCCCCACACAGGCGATGAACAAATGAAAAACGCTCTAGAACGGCCACGATTTCAAATGGGATTTGTTATTTGCTTCTAGAAAAGGGAAAGCCTGAGAGCCTGGGAAAGTTGGCTATAACCTGTCTTCGTGTCGGGCTTGACGCATGTATGGGGAAGCGATTTTGTGGATTCCTTAGTCAAAACGATTGAATTGTTCGAGTTCGACTATGCCAGGAACCTTGAACTTTGCTACTCCAGTTACTCTGAGAGTTGATAACCTGGGTTTTTTGAGCACCAGGTCTCTAAGCGGGATAGGGAAGTAGCGCCAGGTCCCGCTTTTCTTCGGATCAGAGGTATGGGGATCGATTTTCTGCTCGTATCCGCCTGAGTATCAAGTTCTTTGATTGTTCTGTCTAATGTTGTGAGGATGTGCCAGGTATGCAAAGGTAGAAAGACAATCGTCAAGTCGGATGTTGACTGTGGTAACAATCTCAGAATCGTAGTGGTCACAAAGGTATCCATTTGATGATTTCAAAGCTCCGTTATTCAAATGCTCCATCGGATAAGGCTGTAATTACAGCTTCTACTGCCTTTCGGGAAATTCCATTTTATGCATCACTGGACACTAAGAAAGGGAAAGGGAAAGAGAGTAGAGAGGTTTAAAACTGACTTTAATGTCCTGCTTCCCCTTACCTAGAGGAAAACGAGGGCAATGGTTTATGGTGAAGGACGCGCTCTCTCCTATGGAATAGAGGGTCAAAAAGACATAATATTGGTTCTCCCAGAGAATTTCTTTCAACATAAGTCTCGACTAACGGCTTCCCAATTCCCATTGGAGCATACTTCCGTATACTTGGAGAAAGGCCTTTATTGGATAATCTCCGCGAAAAATGGAGATCGTGGAAGCCGGATGGACAAGGAAGTGATGGCCATATAGTCTGCATAGCCTTTGAAATTGAGCAATTACCCTAATCGGAAATGGCTAGATGCTGCTCATGAAAATTGCACATCCGAGAGCAACGGCTACGTATTATTGAATTGAGCACCAGAAGGAAATGAGGGAATAGTGGAGAAAAATAGCTAGTTCCTTTCACGTGAGCTGGCTTACACGCTTTCCTTTTTCCCTATGTAGACAGAATGGTTAGCTCATCTCTTTAGAGGTGCGGGACTCCCACGATGTTGGCGAGTTGAGAGCAAAATTTTGTCCTTGTACGGGGCTCGAAACCCTTTATGGGTGTACGGCCTACATGCTCTTTATCCCTTATGCTATTGGGACCACTCTTGTTTCGCCTTCATAATGACGTACCAATCATAGCTGATCAGGTGTAAGGGATATAGAGCGGTCCAGAAAGAGAAACATGGGATTAAGTCCCGCGTACGACCGCACTTTTTGCCTTATCGTATTCCATCCTCGTGATAGTTTTCGCTTGGTTTTTTCTGACCTTTCCCCTTATTATGTCGCCTTCCCCAGCCACCTGCGTTGAACCGATACCTCACTTTACAATTCAAAGATGTTAGACTGTTACTGTACTGCCGTACTTCTTAATAACAATTAGTAATTACTCGTTTTCAGGTCTTGGCAACGCATTTCCAACCATGGTATGTGACCTTTTACTACGAACCATCATCATATGGGATGTTAGCAGAAGACTTCACCCTGTATCTAACCGGAGGGCAATCCACTATGTTCCTTGCATACCATGTAGCTGCCATCATTCCCCCAACTGTTTTTTATGCGTAAGTTTTTATTATTTATACGATTCGTTTTCCATGAATAAGCCACATATTTCACTTCAACTTGAAAACCTGATAGCATTTGGAAGCTTAGTCGTCCTATAACAACTTCCCAACGTGAGTGGCACGTCGGCATTTTCTTCATCAAGACCCTTACCGCCTCTGAGCTTCGCATAAGGGTACCTATAAAGCTTGATACCATAGAATCAAGCCCCAAGAAATGGGAACTCGCTGGAGTGGGGTTTAACTTAGTCTGAGGCCCTATCAATGGGCCGTAGCATCGACTGCGGCTGTTCCTACCCCACCTCGCCATGGAAAACCAGCCATAAAGTCAAGCAGTGAGAAAACTGTCCCGTCCAATAATCTGCCAAAACGTCTCTAGAAATTTTCTGAGAGTCAACGCAGTCGTTTTTAAGGTGGACAGTCGCAATTCTTGTAAAACGACGACGTTCAGCTCAAAAGACGAAAACTGCAATGCACATTTTGAACAGCAATATCGAGAGCAGGTAAGGGAGATCTTCGCGAGTACATGAATTTGCAGAATTTTGACGACATCAGAAGATTTTCATTGTTGTCAGGTTGCTTCTGCCGTGTTTCATCAATATGGTTGTGTTCATTGTTGGTCAAGTGGTGATCACTCATGAAACGGGCGAAGGCAAATGGGCTGGATTTACCATAATGCTTGTGTTCTNGTATTAAGAGTTCAATAGCTAGGGAAAATACTCTGGAGCCAGAGGGTTTCAATGGTTGGGTTTGATTTGACCTTCGTAGAACTCGAGCTGTCTCTGCCTCTCGTCGTTGTGGGAGACTTTCCAAAGAATGGTTCTAAAAATTACTGAAGTAAAGCCTATCGTGTTTAAGGTGGACAGTCGCAATTCTCGTAAAACGACGACGTTCAGCTCAAAAGACGAAAACAGCTATGCACATTTTGAACAGCAATATCGAGAGCAGGTAAGGGAGATCTTCGCGAGTACATGAAGTTGCAGAATTTTGACGACTTCAGAAGATTTTCACTGTTGTCAGGTTGCTTCTGCCATGTTTCATCAACATGGTAGTGTTCATTGTTGGTCAAGTGATAATCACTCATGAAACGGGCGAAGGCAAATGGGCTGGATTTACCATAATGCTTGTGTTCTGCACAAACTCCGCCCTCAATCCTCTTCTGCTGCTCGTTTGCTCGAAATCCATCAGGTTAGTACTTCAAATGGATTTAAGGTCATGTTTTTCCTATGGACATTTGGGTTTTCTGGGACGACAGTGATTCCAACATCTAAATTTGGTCATCTGTGGTATTTTCATCCTAACTTAGACGCAAAGATGTGGTGGAGATAGGGTCCCGAGTTGAGTCTTTAGTCCTGGAATCAAATCCAAGATCGAAACCACTCGAACCAACTGAACTGCTTGAACTTGAAAGACAGTGGAAGATACATTTGGGAGAAGAAAAAACGCAAACTGACTCGTGGATGGCTCTCAAAACTTGTGGCATGGGCCACTATGATCCCGAGCGCAGTGTAGATGCGTTTTGTATTTTGGAAAGAGTTTAATCAAGTCAAATGTATTCCCAAAAAATTGGCTTCCTTTTAAAATTCTACCAGTTCCAAATTCAGGAAGCATGTACTGGTGCTTCTCGGGTTGACTCGTCCAGCATACTCTTCACAAAAGTACACATCGACAATTTACAAGTATGTCCCTTTCATATTTTTATAGAAATTGGAATAAAAAATCGTACATTTTAGGAATCCGATAACTGTACGAAGCAAAACGGACATAATGATACCTAGTCCAGCGATGAGTGTTCAACAAGTTCAAATCTGTGTTAGTTCAACGAGTTCCGAATCATCCACACACCTGTAGATAGTACCTATTAGAGAAAATTTTTACCATATCCCAAATCCACATCATTTCCCATACCGGTACGTGTTCACTTGATTGTCCAGGGTATTTATATTATCTCACTCTATGTGATAACTATGTCAATTCTGATCTCATTTTGATGTCGAATTTTTCAATCACTTGTAATAAAAGTCGTAATAATGGTCCATGGTAATGAGTGCATTCCGTCCTAGTAGAAATGTGCAGTGACCAAAATCATAATCCCAGTTGAAGTCCGTTGAGAGGCATCAGAGCATCCCAGGCCTGGTAGGATAAACTAGCCCTTTTGGCCAAGATGTTTACTAGGTTGCGCAGCTGATATATACCTTCAAGTATTTTTACGATACTGAGTGGGAGGCGAAAACATCGTGCAACTCGATAAGAAACTCGAAGGATGTCTTGGGAGCTGAAAGCAACCTTAGCCCCTTTATCAACTCGGTAAATCCGCATCAATCACACCTTACAGCCTATAAATGACTTATCCCATTTGTCGTGAAGCAGTAAGCTGTTTGTAAGAATACGTTGGAAATACCAGCAACTTACAGACCCTATAAAACATTTGAAAGCCTCCAAAACACGGCAGTAAAGCCCACATCCTTATCCAGATACTCAAGCTCTAGAACGTCTAGCCATCTGAAAAAGAGCATACNTTTTTTATTAGAACGATCATACGTAATCTTTAATAACAAGGTTATAAGTTCAATAAGTAACACACAAACAAAAATCACAGCAAATTCAAAATTCTATTTGACCCTACTTAAAACAAACAGATGCCACAGTTTTCTTATCGACAAACATTAATTGATCATTATCTAAAACCTTGACAGAGCCGAGTGAAGCTCAAACGAGGGAAGATTTCATTGCAGCAGCTAGAGGCGGAGAAAAATATAATTTCAATCGAAACGCATCAACACCATTGAGATAATACCTGCAAAATCATTTTTAAAGCCAACAGCTGCATTTCTAACTACTCCTTGGCATCGGATTATATCCAGCAACAGAATCCTACTTTTGGCGCCCCTTATAACCCCCCAAAGTTTTCTTCAAGATGTCAAAATGAAGACAACAAAGAAAAATGAGAAAGATAGCTCTGTTAAGATTACTGAAATGCAGCGCATTAAACCCAACTACTCCAACAAGACTTCGGCTTGTTCACTTATTATGTACAAATCTCTCTTTGCCTTGCAGTACTTCCACCCACTAAAGCCATAATGTAAAAAATATTAAGATTCACTTACAATGCTAAAACGCACCTGACTAGCCGTTTCTCGCGAATAAATCCTAAATTGCTGTAAAGTCGTTGCGCGTTTACATTAGAAACCTCTGTTTCAAGGACAACTTCATCACATCCCTGAGCTTGCATCCTCTCAATAGCACGGCGAACCAATCGTGTACCTGAATTGTTAAGCTTAGAAGAAAAGAAACATCTGACCAGAAAATCTGCAGCAAAATAATAAAAGGACGGTTTCATGATTGTGTGAAATTAAAACCAAGCAGCTATTATATTGTTAAACAAAACGAGGTTGTCTTTGAGGCCCATTCTTGGCAATAAGACCTATTCGAACAACACAGGCGTCAAACCAAAGCGAAACACCTAGCGACTTGGGCAAGCCACAAGCGCAGAAGGATTTCTGTTTAATAGTAGCGTTTGAAATATTCACACAAGCCTATCCTAGGTGAAAATAAAGAGGCTTGGGAGGGCACGAATGCAAGGCAGAGAAATGGATTAGGAAACTTCCCGGTACCCCAGATGTAATGAAAAGGAAACGAATCAAAAACTGTGAAGAATTCAACTGACCGAGTCCCAGCTTCCGGTACAATTCATCAATTGCTAGCATTGCTAGATATCCTTTCCGTCGTCCTTCGGCATTTCTATCCAACTTACATACAACTGCACCAACATATGAATTGTTTATTGTATCGTAAGCCTAAACTTTCAGTTGAGACGTAATGCAGCAAGGACTATACAAAATGGAATAAGAACAAGTAGAAAAAACGAACCAAAACGCATAACTCCGGCCAATTGTGAATGAAATACCTGTACGTGTATATGGAATAAGGTTCACTGAGATCTTTCGTTATAAGGCGCATAATATCGCCAATTTGCGTTTCATCCTTAAAAATTTCGTCTTATGAGAACTCCATAGAGTAAACCCACAACTTTCAACGAAAAGTTGAGATGGATCGAAATTAGTGTTGCTCAATCGAGTCGTGTATGGAGCATTTACGGTGGTATAGGATAAAATAGGTACAAGTTTTAAACTTCAATTTCAAAACGGCAATCCTTCTACGATAGTTTCTTGTATTTCAAATAGCCACCTTCATTACTGTCCAATAAATCAAATGAAAAAGTGCAATACCTTATAATCCACGAGAATTACGTTTTTGGCCTTTTCATTTCCTTTTGGGTCATCGGTACCTAACATATGTTGATCCCGTGACCACGTTCCACTGGGATGTTGTGAAGAAGATGGGTGCTGGAAGAACAACATCATATAACTACAGCTAGAAAAAAAACGGAGAAACAAAAAAAAAACGGACCCCCATACTTATCATATGCGAGAAAAAAATTACTAGTTAGATGTCTCTCCTTTTTCCAATACTTTTCATCAAAATTTCTTTTCTTCTCGCATTTGGATATAGGGTTTGCAATGAACAATAAACTTGCTTAGTTAATTAGTTTCAGAAGAAACTGTTTTATTAAAACGAGCAGAGGATAAAGAACATTTCTCATTCCCTTATTAGAGACCCAAACGTTGAAGGTGAAGAACTAATGCCTCCACGGCAAATACAATGGAGATCTCAACAATCCATAAAATTCAAGGGGTACGAAAGGATAATTTAATTATATAACCAACCTGATCACTGGAATTGCATGGCTGAGGAGTTGCATCTCTTTGAGCAATCTGCAGACACCTTTTCAGAGTACTAATAGTACTATCCAAACTGCTCTGACCATCCTGCTGGTTTGCTCCAATAGACATAATCAAAATAAAGCAGCTGAACAGAAAGAATTGCGGAACGAGATAGGCGAATTTCAACTGGAAGAATCATAGTCGTTGAATAGAAAATTCATAAACGAACCCTCACTGACTGATCACATAAGTCGAGAAATCAAAAACAAACAAGACCAAGGCTGAAACGTTTTATGTCGTCATTTTGCGTGCACGTTGTTTAGCTGCAGAAAACGCAACCTACAGTGTCCCAAAATACATGAAGCGCTGGTCGTTGCAACCCTCCTCAATGTCGGTCTCATTTCAGTGCCAAAAACGCATTGGCTCGGTTTTGAGCTATTTCATAAGGATTTAGAGTATTTGTAGAGATGTCGTCGATCCTGTCGAGGAAAAATTAACTTCCTGATTTGTCTTGATGGAAAGACCCACCTAACAGTGGAAATTTTTAAATCTCACGGAAATTTTTCATCTAATGCTAGCGAAGTGCTATAACGAAAAAGGAAATAATGAACCAAGCAACTTGCTACTTATAGTTTTCCTAGGGATGGAGATGGTGTAGTGACACGTGGGGCACATCACCCGCGCATGGTCGCGGGTTCGAATCCCGGAACGGTATCTTCCTGAGCTAACCAAGCCTTCCATCCCTTCTGGTTCGTTTGATTGGTGGCAGANAGCTATTTCATAAGGATTTAGAGTATTTGTAGAGATGTCGTCGATCCTGTCGAGGAAAAATTAACTTCCTGATTTGCCTTGATAGAAAGTCCCACTTAACAATGGAATTTTTTAAATCTCACGGAAATTTTTTATATAATGCTAGCGAAGTGCTATAACGAAGAAGGAAGTAGAGATCCAAGTAAATTGCTACTTATAGTTTTCCAGTGGATGGACATGGTGTAGTGACAAGTGATGCACTATCACCCGCGCAAGGTCACGGGTCCGAATCCCGGATCGCTATCCTCCTGCGCTAAACGAGCTTTTCATCCTTTCGGGATCGATTGATTGGTACCAGACTCGTCTGAGAGGATAAAAACACTGAGTTGTACATCAGCTGGCCATCGCAAGCCATTGTATAAACCACATACGCATTCAATGCGCCACTACGATTCTGGATGGAAGTCGAATGCCGGCCGCATCCCTCAAACGGGATTGATCAACGCTCGAAGACTTTATTCTTCACGGTTCTTCAGCATGCGTTTATTCAAAAATCTGTTTATTCAAGCGTGGCACGTTCTATTGCGTCATGGGAAAGTAACAGCTGTTATGAGGTATAAACATGGACTTTGACTAATTGAATTTGAGAAGTACGTCATTACGCACACATTTGATCGAGTTCTCCGGTTCTATTGATTCCTGGCTTCAACGTAGCTGTACCTTTCGGTTGAGAAGTGAAGGGTGCTTTTCTGGGAGCATACCATAATCGTGCAGGGAAGGAACCGTTGCAGAGACAGAGGCACGTGGTAATGAACTGTCGACCACTGTTGCACCTACCTTAGGTAGACCACTACCTTTCTTTATTCTCCCGTCAGTCACCATTTNATCGTAGCTTCTCTCTCTTTTGCTCCTTCACTACTCCGTTTTTTACACCTCTGTTGCCTTCTGAGCTGATCTGTGCCGCCCAAGGAACATCGGTAAGGGGAATTCATTGCCATCTTAGGTCGAATACGGTCGTCAAAAGTGCCCCAGGAGGTTGAAACCTTCAATACATCTCGAATGAGTTTGGCCAGGAACCGCGCTCAGCCACAGGTAGTAAGTAGTTCAATTACTGAGTACGTCGCGGATCTTTTTAAACTAAGGTAAAACTACAGATTGCCTTCCTTAGCTAGCTTTAGCAAAGTGATATAACCAGTAGATGAGAGAGGTAGTGAGCATCATACTCTCAAATGTGAACGACCATGAAAACCGGGTAAATAAATAGACAGGGGAGAGAAAAATCATATTTATTCAATACATTTTAATCACAATTTAAACGCAAAGGCGAAAGAGAAGTTCGTGTATGATGTCTGGGTAACAACAAAAAGAAACGATGATGTCTGAGGAACTGAACTGAGGAAAATGATATCTGCTCATTAAGAGCTGTATGACTACTAGAGAAACAAGGACGTGATTATTAAATTCCTATTGATGTGTTCTACTGGGTACAGTAGAAAATATGGGGTATGGGCGTTAGTGTGTGTGGGTGGGGATGGGTTTATGCGTGATATCAGTAAGCACCGAACAAATGGTACACAACAATATACACGATTTTCAGAACACTGGCTATACCCGCTTCTGTTGAAAGGCGGATCATTCGAAAAAGGCCGATAAGGAGGAGGAGAAGGAGGATGAAGCCTGAACCAAGGAGCTCGACCGACAACGAGAGATTCGTGCATTTCAAGTGAAGCGGGCAGACAGGGGGATGCGCAGGAGGCGCTGTGATCTGCGTTCTGAATCATATCGAAGACGACAAAGAAAAATGACGTAGAAAAATAAAAATCTTCAACAAATATATGTGAATAATCTCTGTTACTCTAAAGGCACCACAGCAGTGACCAACAATATTACAGTTTGAAGATTCGACGAATTTCCAAAAAAAATAGCTAAAATGTACGAACGATTAGAGCAATTATTTGCACGGATCAGTATACTCGTACAAAAAAGGATTCCTATTCGACCTAAAAAAAAAGAACAAAAAAAATAGAGTGGACAGACTGAATTTGTGGTCAATGTAAGACACTTCACATGCACATTCAGTGTGATAAGCGAAACAGAATGGAAAAGAGTAGGAAGGGAGGAGTTCGCTGATGAGCTGCCGCGGTCATTGTCGTCCAAAAAGACGAAAAGGGCCGTTTATAGTAGCTCCATTCGTAACTCGTGTACTTGACTAGAGACTATTGACTACTATCACTTAGAACCCTTTAATATAACAATAGGCTTCAAGTGCTGACAAGGTCAGATATAAAAACCATAGGGAGACGAAGAATGTTGAAGTCAGGACCTGAATTAACACAGGATTATTGTATCCAATTGTATCCAGTAAATAAATAAACAAATTTCTAGGCAGTTTTGCGGAGCTATAGATGGCATTTGCTGTTTATGATAATCATTTTCTCAAGGTGAGTGAAGGTGGAGTAGTGGCGACTCTGCCTGCCTTCAAACTTTGGAATTTTTGGAATTTTCGGATCGATTCTTTGATTGAAATCCGTTCGAGAGAGCGAAGACAACTATTTCCCTAATTTGATTCCATGAATGTATTTCGGTTTTTGGAAGAGAGAAAGCTCAGTTAATAGGGTACTGTACAAGATTCCTTTCGAAAAATGTGAAATTTTCCGGTTAAAAAAAATTTGGTAAAAAAAAACAGATAAATTGCATACCCTGAACTTCATAGGTCCTCCCAATTCTCCACCGACGAGTTTTCCTCTCCTCAGCACAATGACAGTAATACAGGCACATGCTTCCAAGCAGAAAACCAATACAGAGAATCCAAGATTTCCTGGATCAACGAGGAACCTTAAATAAACATAGATGAGCACAAATCAACTTCGATCAGCAAACACCATGTCAAGCTTGCTTCGACACTTACAACCAAGTATCATTAATAATCACGAAATATCAAAGGGCTGTTTGAGAGAAGAGAAACTTGTACTGACTTTGTTCCATTGAAGAAATGGTATATAGCAGCCATGGACCATGCGATTCCAATACCGAGGAACACATTTACTGCATTTGAACCGGTCACATTACCAATAGAATTGTCAGCATATTTGTCTTGTACAGCAGCTACCTTTGAGGCGAATGTGTCTAAATATGGCTGGCTTCGATGCTTGAAGGCAATCTTGAAAGATGAGCTGTGATAAAAAGAGAATATACCGACCACTTTCTACTTCATTCGCATTCAGCAATAAGTAGTAATTGAATTTTTCATTAAAGGTATACAGCGGACGGCGCAACGCGGAAAAAGCTGCTTTGCGATGCATCGCACTCTGATCAAATCACTGATCGAAACTCGCCTTACCAAGCCTGTTATGTAGTACTAGGCTCGTTCTTTCCATAAACTACCACATAGTCTGGGCCGACAGGCCCATCAGAAAAGATGGGTGTTAGTTGACGTAGTTAACAACTAACCAGGTACAGAGGTTCCAAGAGCGACGAATGAAATGGCAGTGACGGAATCCTTGAGGCCGACCCAACAGCCAAACTGTGAAGCCAAATCGCCGATAACTGCTGTCAGAACGCCGATCATGAAGATGGAAACGACGAAACATGCCCATCCTCCCCAGTAATCTGCAAAGAGACAAATCACTCTTTGAACACACTGCACAGAATTTTCCATCTCCTTGAAAGGGGTTTCGAGAGCCTCGTGACTGAGAACCTCTAATGTCAAAAGTTTTGACAAGAGTATGGGCCGGACGTTCCTGAACGGCCACTGGCACTTGCCCCAAGGCTCCGCCCACGTAGTTAACTTCACCCTTTTCTAGAGTGCCTTCTAGTTTTCTAGAGACTAAAGGTATGTGATAACTTAAGCACTCACCAGTCGGAGGTATTGTTGCGAAGATCAACTTCCAAGGCATTGTCAAGAAATGCATGACATAATCACCGCAACTTGGTGGTTCCTTTTCTTTTGCCACGCTTCCATCTCCTTCATCATCATCGTCATCATCATCATCACCTTCATCTACAAATAGGACTCTTAGAAGAACAGAAGATTGGATAAAATCTCAAGACATATGAAATTTACCAGCACCAACGGTAAGGGCATCAATGAATTGTTCTCGCCATGATGACGTTCCCAACATCAATTTTGTATTAGCATTTCTAATCATTCGATCGACAATACCCTTAATATCACAAATACATAATATTTGAAATTAAAATGAAAAAAACAGAGGTCATTATGTACAATAATTAAAAACTTTGAAGTTACGCATAGTGTCCCAGCTAGGCAAAAGGAAATAGCATCAGTTAGGTCTGGTCTTCTTCAGAGAGAAACTCTTCTCGAAAATGCTGCCCTCGGAACAGAAATACTGGGTCTGTCGTAGGCTCTCGCCCATAGGACCACAAATCGCTGTTTTCTTGTGTTGCTCACAAAGTTTTATTTATTTATTTCACTTTACCATACGGTAGATACTTTGTCATTGGATTGTTTAGAATTTGGTACTGTATAATAGAATTTTTAAGATGTCAAACACAAACAGATGTCAATGAAAAAATTTATAAAGGAAAATCGTCTCTTTTGAAACTATTGGGAGTCTTCATCTCTTCATGAAAGTTTTAGGTCATTCGCCCATCCTCTCGGAAATTCTATTAAGATCTTGAAAGAATGAATCAAGATTTGGTGGGAAGTTAGACCTTAGATTCAATAGACTGCTATTCTATCTACATATTTCTATGTCTAAAAACTAACCTGGAATTCTTTGCTTTCTTTGATGGTAATTTGACATTTAGGGAATTCCCCAATACGTGGTTTTCCCATTTCGGCAATTTCCAGCTGGTCAGCTGTCAAGCCAGCCAAATCATCACCGCCTGTAAGAGAAATGATTGACTAACGGGTCATTTTAAATGTGCACCAAAGCGATTCCAAAGATCGTTGTTTCCTTTGTGAAGATGGCTCGGGAATGGCTCCTCGCAGACTTTAAGGTTGTACTGATCGTGTGGGCGACGCGGGACAACTCCACCCACACGATAAGTACCGCCCACCTTTGTAATTCCATTCCTTAATATGGTATACGAAAATTAACTGGGATATAAACAAATCGAAATCCCACCGAAATTTGTGAGGTGGCAGAGAGAGCGCGAAGAGGATGGCCATCTTCACAGGGGACGATCTTCACCGAGCAAAATGTCAGGTTATAAAAGTGTTGTTAGAGGAGGTAAATGACCGAATAACGTTCAGGCGTTATTTCATAGCCGTATGAGATTTCAAAGACAAGCAAAAGTACAGCAGTGCATGCAATAGAGAAAACTGAGGGAAAGAGCCGATCATGCATGCCACTCAGGTGCAATAGGAACCTTTCATGCCGGCGATCCACGATCCCATACGCTTTTTGAAGCGATCGCTGAGATTTGGTGAAGCAGAGACAGTCCTTCGTCTAGGATCCATCGATAAAAAATCCACGGATCTTCGTGGTCGACCTAGAACTCATGCTCACACAGATGTGCTGGGTGGACAGGTGTGGGTGCTGATGTGGGTGTTCCGTTTCAATCTAGTTGTAGGGAACTCTGTAGGGATCTTTTGTTTACAGGGTCAAGCGTAGCGATGCATTTTTAGGGGACATAATTAAAGAACCTCAACTCCCTTTCCGACGTACGATCCCTCCGCATCCGGCTAATTGGAACCAGACTCGTTTGATAGGTTGGAAGCATAAAACATGTACATCGGCTGTCAACCACAAGTTATGGTAAAGGTCACATACGCATTCAAACGCCTCTGCGGTTCTGAATGGGAGTCAAATGCAGGACGCACTCCAAAAAACGAGTTCGATCGACATCAAAGAAGTTTTTCTATATGCTTCTATTCTGAGGGATAGAGAAATGGCTCAATGATGAAGTGAGTGGAAGTGAATTATGCCACGCTAGGTAATCAACAGTCCAAAAGTCTACCCTCTCCCCCACCCCNCAACCACAAGTTATGGTAAAGGTCACATACGCATTCAAACGCCTCTGCGGTTCTGAATAAGCGTCAAATGCAGGGCGCACTCCAAAAAACGAGTTCGATCGACATCAAAGAAGTTTTTCTATATGCTTCTATTCTGAGGGATAGAGAAATGGCTCAATGATGAAGTGAGTGGAAGTGAATTATGCCACGCTAGGTAATCAACAGTCTAAAAGTCTGGTCTCTCCCCCACCCGCTGCCTCCCGATTCCTTCCAATCTCGAGCTGCCCCTTTCTTTTTGTCTATAGTGCAAATGTAATCTTAGTGATATGTTTTCATATCGCACGCTTGATCCTGCCTGGAGGAATCTGCTAATGGCTAAAGGAGAAAGTAAAAGATGTCATTCTTCTTGTCGCGTTTTTTGCTGACATGGGTAGTTTTGACAGAGGAAATAGGAAACGTTACAGTTATTGGTTGCAAAAGATGGATAGGGAAAGGGTGAAGAGCATAGACAGTAACACGTGACAGATGAAATGTGGGAGTAACCTGGTTCACTGCTTTCTTTGGACTCCGAAGCAATAGATGCTCTGCGTTTCTGTTCCATACGACGTTGGAATCGTTCTTGCACTTTGCTCAGATCTGCACAATCACGACACGTTAAGCTACAGAGGCAATCAAGAAATTCTATCACGACGAGTCACAAGTTTCATGGAATTTTAAGTGACTTTTCATTGTGATTTGTTCGAAAACCATGGAGAATGGGCGTTTGCTGATCAGAAGCTTTACATAAACTCGAATTTTAACTGAACAACTAAAATTCCTAGTCTTTTGCTCTTGAAAACCGCAATTGTTTCTATAATTCGAAATCGTTTCATGGATCAAAAATTAGGGCTCGAAGAAAAGTCATAAAACTTGTGGCTCGATACAGTGTTCTACAGCAACTCTGTTTCTCTGATCGTTTTTGAGCAAGACTCAGGCATCCTACGCGTGTAATGAAGTGGCTGCTGACGTATGAAAATGTTAAGTAACAGTGGTTTTACCTTCTGACCAAGAAACAAGAGGTTGGGTTACTGTACATATTGTGGAGTGTATACATTGAATCACGTAATAATTTCTAGCTCAGCTTAGCCAAAAATCAGATAGGGATCGGACTGAGAACAGGTAACTCCATTTTTTCTCCTACTCCTACTCCAACTTCCATTTTTAATTCCAAATCCATTTCTGTGATAAACTGAGAAATTTATGAAATCGTGTGCTCAACCGAATGTGTATGTGACAGTTAGTACCCGGTAGAACGAAACCAAGGAAGGTTCTCCTTGAACTGTTCCTCTAGACTATTTTGAGCTGGCTGTTGATTGAAAATTTATAAATTGATGATGGAAAGTGGGGAGCATTACATGGGGTTTTTAGTATGCGATGATGATATGATTTGTTGGTCGACTTTTTCGTCTCTGAAGTTTCCGTACCACCCGGATAAAACATCACCCTTTCAAACTAGTCGCGCCTTTTTTCGGTAACGAAGCGCAAAACTTCAAGGGGGAGGTGAACTTACGACACCTTCAGAGCGCCGATACCTAGTTTTTTCCTACAAGAAGGTCCTGAGGTGATAGCTCATTTGCTCACACTAGTCGAAATATCGGACAATCACCGACACTATCCAACCGTTCCCAGAGTTCTCTGGACCGTCAAAGAATGTCTGCTCAGATTTTCAACGATCAGTATAGAATTGCTGCAGAAAACAGGAATACTGTAGAAGTACAGGATGTACTGTAGAAACGAAACATGACATGAACGATTCTCATCGTTCAGTGCTCCACAATAGAAGCTATCACGAGAAATAAGCCAGAAGTAGACAGATGAAATGTCTGAGAAGTAGTTAAGAGAGATGTGAGAAATTCGTAGTGAAAGTGAAAAGGAAATTCTGAAGATATCCTTCCAGCTGACGGTTGAACGTCTCACTCACCGCTCATCTTCTTTGCCCAAATAGGCGGGCCGAGTTCGATGAAGAAGTAGTCGGACCTTTCGTATTGCTCCGTATCCATGACACCAATCTCAATAAAGGCTCTGAATTGATATTTTATAAGGTAGTGCTTAAAATGATCACATGAAAGCTCCTCTCCAGTTATCTAATCCACAATTGGCAGAATGCAGTTGATAAGAACTATTTAGGAGTGACACTTCAATATTGGTAATTTTACTGATGTCTGTGGTCTCAGGATAATTCACTAAGTGCTAGGATAACATTTTTCTTGACCATTACTTCAAAATTTTAATGTTCACGTTTTTTGAATTTTTCCTTGATCTGCATGTAGTCGTTTATACTCAGATTGTTACCGTAATCCAGCTAACCAATTACAGTATCCAATACAGTAATGCATAACCAATTACAGTTTCTTATACAGTAATCAATATAGTACAGTACTGCGGGGCTATGATTGGTCAATGCCCAAAACATCCTACAACCCAGTAACCTCCTACGTTCTTACGCCTTATTCCTCACTGAACCGGACTTGTGGGATAATTTCCTGCTAGTGTCTCTCAGCATTAACATTTAACAGGAACTGTTCAAATAATTTTTTTCCCTTTTTTTAGAAAAAATCATTACCTGGTTGCTCTCAATTTAATTGCATTTATGATAAAAATTGAAGCAGTTCACTTTTTAATTGTTTTTATTTCGATCGTATTTATTGAAATAATTTGATCAGACGTAATTAACTTTACTGAGAGGATATAATTGGTTCATTTGATCGGTTTAGTCTGTCATTGAGCCGCTCGTACATCCACCTTACTTCTTCCACGAAGTAACACTCGAATTCATTCTTCGTTTGATCTTTTTCTTATATGTGAATCGTGTTCTAATAGCTATTGTCGGAAGTAATCCCTTCTTGCTAGAGCCAGTAATATCACTTGGCTTCTGCTCTGTTAGCTAGTATTCGGGCACTTGAGAGCCCTCTTCAACAATGCTGAGAGGAGCAAAGGCGAGGTAATGCACACGATAGCGGAGAGAGCCGAAGACTTGAACACACGTGTGCGCCAATGCTTCTCGAGTACTCCAGTACAAGATAAACGCAGCGGCTCGAACAGTTTCTGACAATTCTCGTCAGCATTCCATCCAACATTGCAGCCCACTTCCCAGCAGCTTTCTCCTACCTACTGTAGATGCCGACAGAAGAAAAAAAACATATGAAAAACCTGTTATTCGCTACACGAACAGTACACTGTAAATCTCATAGCCTGCCTGTTATTCACTTGTAACTTAGGTATTGAGTTCCAGTTCAGGGGAAAAGCTTCTGAAGCGTTGTGCTTCTAAATCATGAAAAAGGTCGCACACGCATTGTCACGGGAACTAATCCTAGATAAACACAATAGCAGGGTGTCAAACCTTCTGCCCCTCTAGAGACGGCTGATTAATATCAGGCTCAACTGGGACAAAAGTACTAGTTAACACATCTGCTGAATACCGCAACTCATTGTATAAACCATAAACGCATTCGAAAGTTTCTGCAATTGTGAATTGGAGTCGAATGCAGGGCGCATCACATAATCCGAATTTATTTACTCCCGCAAACGTTCTTGGTGACTTCCACTCTCAACACTCTTCTTGGAACCGTCTCTTTTACTTTGTTTGGCGACTGATTTTCCTATTTTGTTCGAGATCCCTATTATCACCTACTGCCGGCCTTTTTTGCCGCAGTTGATCTTAGTTTTTACCCGAGGCGGGGAGTTTCGGGGTATGACAATCTTTATTATCCACGGACCACAAACTGGTCTTCCTGGCTTGCAAAAAGTATGGCAGGTGCCCCGCTTTTGTTACATGCGTACTTCTATTGTGCACTACTTACCACTGACTAGGTATCAAATGACTGCTAGTAAGTGGTAGTCGTTCAAAGAACGTTTTCTGCTAGAAGACACCTCATTCAGGTAGCAAGCTTCCCCTGGAGAACAGGAAGACCAAAGGTTGAGGGAACTCTGAAATATCGATGTAGTATATCCACCTAACATGCCTCTGAAAGCTTTTCGGAGCTTTGTTCCAGGGTTTGTTTTGTCAGTAATTGTACCCTGATTGCGCTCATTGACTACTGTAGAGTCCACAGAGTTCAATGCACCCTGGTCGCCCTCTTCGATTACTGTAGGGTTCAGAGGGTTCGCGGCCGCGGACTAAAGGTCACTGTGAGAAATGGAAGGATAATCGGAGTATTCCAAAGTCTCGCTTCAGAATGCTCAGAAATTGTTGAGTCCAGGCTTTAAATTTTGACTTGGGTCGTTTCGATTTTCTGACTACTGCCAGTTGATATTGCAAATCTGACATTGACGTACTGTACGTGATTGGCTTTATGTACATTACGTGATGACGTAATTGATCCAGTTCTAGTACGATTGACATGAGCTCGAGTAGTCATTTCGTTGATGGCTGTCTCAGAGGAAAAAAGTTTTGAGTCGATGGCGACTATTTATCGAACTCTTGGATGTTTCATTTGACTCAGCAGCACAACGACTGCAAGGAGTTCGAGGACCCATGAGGATTTATTCAAAGAAGAGTAACCCCGAAGTCAAAGAACGAAGTAACCCTCCAGCTTGCATTCTCCACAGTACCCTAGTAGAATGCTGAGATCATCTGATCAGGAAAGATGATCCCAGATATGAAGTAGAACGTAACAGGAGATATGAAACATTATATAAAAACATCTAGATTTCTTATTTTTTCTCCAGTAAAATACAATTTTCATTGTGATATTTACGTTTTTGCACAGAGTATCCTCCGCCTTTCTCATGATAAAAAAATTTGTTCGAATTTTCCTCAGAAATCAGCATAAAAAATATAATTCCATTTGAGGGGAATTCCATTCATTTTGATAATAATGTCAGTTTTTTTTCAAAAAAAATTTGAGTGAACTACATTGCCTCAATAGCTATTTCAACGAGTGCAAGACACCTGAGCCAAAGCAAACCAAAACCCCAGAAAATTTATTCAGAAGGAAAATTAAGTCGAACGTACTCGGTCTGGTTGTCATCGAAAACCACCTCCCCTTCCCTACTTTCGAAATGCTTATCTCCGATAGCTGACCCATCGTATGTTCTGAAATACATTCATTTCGAATCAATTCATCAATACTGTCCAGATTTACCTAAGTTATCACCTACCTGTATGGGATCACTACCTTTCCTCTGGCTCCTGAGTGTCGTTGGACCCGGAGTGATAGATGGCCACAACTTTCAACAACCTCGAAATGATCATGTTCAAATGAGAACACACCAGCGTGGTCGTCATCTGAAAAGAATCACGAGAGTGAGGCAAAAGGGAAAAAGCGGATATATAAAGGTCTTACCCAGAATCATAATGGTAGCCGTGGCTGGCATCTCGAGCTGGGCTACGGGTAACCCTCCAATTCGTGAAGGATCCAAAATCAAGCCGTCTTTGGTGCGAACACGAAGATTTTTCAGATGTAAGTAGAAGTGTTCATCTTCCTCGAACACATCGTCGTCTACGATTTCGATACTGATTTTCTGAAATGTTCATTTTGCACCACCTTTATAGATACAGATGGATGTTTCCATAGAATTTTGTCAATGAATCATATTCAATTGTGAAAAAAATAAGATTATTACCGATGCAATTAGCTTCCCAATTTTTTCAGCCGAATGATGTGAAATAAAGGTTATTTCCTGATTATCCAGCAAAGTTCATCACCTACACAATGGCTTCAACTCAGAAAAATTACTCCAAAAGGAACTTTCTTGAAGCTCTGAAGTGAGACCATTACTGAGCTAAATTTTTTTTCAGAACATTAAGGGATTTGTCTTATTTACGAGTACTGTAATCAGACAGAGATTCCTCCCCCTCTCCTTCTCTAGAAATAAAAGGATTCTTCCTGAAGGCGCTGATGTTTCTAAAGCAAATCAAGATTGTGACTACCGGGATCAGATCAGACCCCTTGTGTCACTTAAGTAACAAGTGATAACATATGATAAAATGTTATAGCGTAGTTCATACAGATGGGTTACAATAAAGGTCCTAGGAAAATGCTCCAAAAGATTTCCAAATTCCATTTATCCTTTCACACCGTTAGCGGATGAACTATTTCCTTTGTACCGTTATTACATAAGAAAATATCAATTTGTGAATCATTTCCGTTGAAGGGATGCTCAACAGTGAAGGATACAGTAAGTAGGGAAAGTATTGACTTTATTGATAGGTAATATGGCTAAATTATCGACTTTTGATGAGAAAAAAATGGAAAAAAGGAAAATATATGTAAAATGGCGACATGTGATAATGAATAAATTGTTTTCTTTGTACCTGATCCTTATCATTCGGATAGAAGGTAAGAGTTCCCTTGACAGGAACGTAATCCGATCCGGCATTAGCTGTACCATCTTCAGTATAGTAATCAACCATTACGGTCAATCCGTCTGGTCCTCCGTCTCTGAAATAAATCATTTTTTTTTCTCTAGAATTTAAATTGAGAATCATCATCGAATTGTCCTGAAAACCGACCTTCCGACGACCACATCGAACGTTCCAACATTTTCAAGTACCGTGTAATGTGCTGGATCAAAGTATATCCTGCATGTATTTTCTCTTGTCTGCTTTTCTTGAGCCTGCACCAACTGAAACACCTAAGGCTTGGCATAAGGGATGCGGTTAGTAGCGACAGGTTACGGTATGACCTATGGTCCTGACTACGGTAATCTATCACAGTATACTGTTTCACATCGGGCTGAGGACGGAGAATCAGAAGGAGCCTCAAAAACCGATAAAAAAGTGGTCTGCCTGAGCTGGATGGGGCAGTATGAATCGTCCGGGCCTCATATCCTCTAACTCCTCGGAAGGCCTCTTTTCTAGAAGGCCCTACAAACCGTGCATTTAAGCTCATAAATTACCCTAAAGCATGCAAGAGGAG